ATTTAAAACTTTTTTACGCTCTGTGCTCCGTCTGTCATCCATTTCAAAAATTATAACATACGCAGATACAAAAACCTAGGTATACATTTGCACATATACACACATATATAGTGCAAGTATATTGTATTTTTAGCAGATACTATAGTGCATTCAGGTTTTTGGCATTTTTCTCCCTTTCCCTCCTCTACATACAAAGACACATATTTTTTACTTAAAATATTGTTGCTTTTTCTCTTCTGCATAATGACTCCCATTACACTTTAATTAAGCATGTGTTTTATGTATGTAGCATAATATTGTTAATGTATGTATGTGTGTAAACAATACACACATACATACTTGTTACTATACAAGTAGAGGGTTTCGTATATTTTAAATTGTAGAGCATTTTAATGCGCACATACCGTCAAATCCCAAAAAATCTTTATTTTAGGGAAATGAATAAAATTTTAATGTTTTCCGTGGCATATTAATATTCTTCTATATAAAAAATTAATTATCCTGAATATCATCGTTATTTTAGTTTTATACGTCTTTAACGAGTGTTAACATACATTTCTGAAGGGAGCTTTATGTGGCACCTAGGGTTCGATTTTTATCAAACATTGCATTATTTTTAAATCAGTTTCATTGCTGTAAAAATTTTCTAGGATTTAGCCATATACACAGATTCGTAATCATGAATGTCCCTTTTTTTCTTGTTTTGCTATTTTAAGAAATAACCGTCGCGTGCAGCAACATTTTGGTTAGTTTTACATACGTAAGTGTTGCACAGACAGAAAATGCAAATATTTACCTTGGGCTATAAGCATGTGTATGAATGTAGTTTAATGAAAACTTCATTTTAATTAAATAAAAACGAACAAATAAAAAAAGTACTAGTAAAGATGTACAAATGATAACTTCAAAATATCCTATGGGGGAATAATAATTAAAAAAATAATACTTTTTTAGGATAACTATTAATGTAAGAGGTTTTCTAGATGCAATATTTGTTCAACAGCTTTAAAATAAAATTTAACAACGTCATTAAATGTACACACATTTAGAAATATTATAGATAAAATTCATTTTCTGTAGTTATGAGCATTTCCCCACCATAAATAATTTCATTGCAATCTAATTTTAAAAAGAGTTTTATAATTTATTTCTTAACCAATTACTTTGGGGTTCAACCAATACTTTAGATTAGACATGCTTTCTTTTGTGTTCATTAATTAGAATTTTCACACTTAAATTTCTTTAACATTTTCTCATTCTATTTTGAACTTTTCGACCTTAATTTTCTACTCATTAACCATTTTTTCTAACCCTGCAATTTTCCTTCTTAGCTTAATTTCCGATGACGAAAAAAATAAGTATTTAATTCTATTTTTGCCTTTTTTAGAAAAACACTAGTTAAACTTTTCGTTTAATGTAAACAAACACCTTATTTTTAAAGAAAATAGAAAATAGAAAAAAAAATCAAACAAAACGAGGCATGTCTTCAGCTGCCACGGTTTTATGTAATTAACACACTTGAGGGAATTTCAACACTTAGAATAATATTTTCATACGTACCCGTACCCAACAAATTGGCAACCATCAAAATAAAAAAAAAAAATAAAATCCTGTGTGAGTTTCCATGACGTGCAGTAACGAGAAACGGTAAAATCACTTTAACAACTCACGCGTCAATGAACGAAATTTTCATAAATAAATGTATATATATGTGTGTGAGTGTCTGTTGAGTTTCCAAACATAACGGTTTAATATTTCTTTTCGATAACAACTTGTTTCGTTGCTAAATTCATCAAAGGTGCCGTTAATAAAGATTTTTCCGTATGTTTTCACACGCCCCTTAACAATACACGCACTTTTCATATGCTAATTTGTTTTTTTCGCTTATTTGTTTTTATTTGCCTTATTTTAATATTAAATTGGGTCTTTTAGAAAATTTTGGCTTAAATTTAATATTGAAGCTAAAAAATGTTGTCGTATATGACAAAAAATATATACATAAATATCTCATTTACCTATATAATGTTTTAACTAAAAATTTGGGGGTTTTCCGATGATTTTAAATTATTTTTGATGTTAGGATCATTTTCTATTCTGAACACCAAAATTAAGACAAACTTGTATTTTCTTAATTAAAGTAATCTGTATATATAATATAATTAAAATTATAATTAGTTAGTTTGAAAGGAGGATGTACATACATATACACATCAAATCCGAAGAAATACACCTACACCTGTTGTGCGCTCCTTAATCAGTGCCTCAGATGGGAATCGAACCCACCACCTCCGGTCTACCAGACTAGAACACTAACCTACCGGAGGCCACATTAAAATATATCACTATTGAGAAGAATTAACTATATACATGCGTACAAACATATGAACACAAATGTATTAAATAAGTGCTGGGTTTGAAAGTACGATTAGATTAACTAAATATTCAGTCAAGGGCTGAATTACAATTAATTTTCTCCATCACGTACATATGCGACAATTTCGGCCGAGATTTGTTATAAAAAATCATGATTAAAATCCGAAATTAGTAGTAAAAATTTATCGAATATTATTCATATAAAAATTTAATACATTATAATGTTATAATAATAATATAATAATTAGTAAATTATTCAAATTTAACATTATTTTCTTTGCATTTTTTGTTATGTACATAGTTTTAAATTAAAAACATTAATTGCTTTCTATTATAAATATTTTCAACTATATATGCATGTATCCATACATACATATATTCCTTTTTAACATACATATTTAATATATAGCTTTGTTTTGAAATTTAATCAACTAAAAAAATAAAATAAAAAATCTACAAAAACAATAACCTAAAGCTATTTATAAAATAATATTAAAATTTTTTATGTTTACGCATCATGTACTGGTTAGGTTATCTATGCAAAAAAATAATAAATTAATTCAGTTTTTTATAATATTTGTACTTTAAACAAAAGCCTTTTAAATCAAATTAAATTATTAAAACATATTTTATCTAGAATAAAAAATCAAACACAACATAAAATTTTTTATGTATAAATTTAAGATGTTTTAGGTTTTTGTAGTAATTTAAACAACATAATTTAAATTATCATATACGAGTTCGAAAACACATTCCGATGTCGAAATTATTCGACCACCTAGGATTTGTACACGAATTTAAAACAAATGTTTTGATGAAGTAAATTTTATTAACCCAGGGAAAACTGTATTAGTTACACAACTAGTTCTGGAACGAATTTTTTAGCCTGTACTCGTTCTTGTTTGGCGTTGAGACCAATGATTTTTGTTCGAAATTCCCAGAAGCTGTTTCGAAACTATTATGAGTTCCATTAAACTTCCTTGAAAACTCTTTAGAAGTACTTTAGAAACACAACAATGTTCCGAGTTACGGGTTCCAGAAGTAATTACGACATCACTAGTTCCATGGTTGTTGTTTAAGAATCTGAAGTGGTTCTCTGTGCACGCGTTTCTGAATTAGATTTTTAAAACTAGTTCTAAAATTTGTACTGGGAAGAAATTCCTCATAAAATAAGTTTTTCTGTATTAATACGGGTTCCAGAAGTGATTACGACATCACTAGTTGCATGGTTATTGTTTAAGAATCTGAAATGGTTCTCTGTGCACTCGTTCCTGAATTAGATTTTTAAAACAAGTTCTAAAGTTCTACATAACACATACAAAATATTGGTTCGATGAATACTCTCGAGTCGACCTATATATATATATTAATAGAGGAAGCAGTAAACTTCAAATGCTTAGATTAAAATTAAAAGTTTAAGACCTTTTTAATGGTCTCCAGTATTTACGATATTCGCCCGTCATAACGTAGATTCACTTTGAGGTAAAACTAAAACACGCGGTTAATAAAGACCACTTATAACTTGAAACAGTTGACTAGCTTTCTGATACATATCTGCGTAGAATACAATAAATAAGTTTTTCGATATTAATATATAATGCAAAACAAGCTCTATAGGTCAAGAACTGCCGGAGTTAAAATGGGCTATTTCGTGTCCAGTGACTCAACTTAAAAGAAACGATAATAGACCAGACACAAATTCAACTCTATCGGTCAAGAGGGGGTCAAAGTTGTCAATCGAAAAAAATTGTATTCGAATGGGGTGAGGTTTGGACATTAAGGCGGATGAGGTAAAATATCCGAACCACTTCCGAACCAGGTTTTATCATGTATTGCAGCATGTGGCAGAGCGTTGTATTTCTGTCCGCATATTTTGGGCATTTTAGCCAAGGCTTTAAACGAATCAGTTGTATTCGGTACAGTGATGGTGTTGTCAGATATGGCCTCAAATACGACCATTATCTAAGCGTCAGGGATATTTAGCATTAGTGTCCATTCGGCAAATAATGAATCGGTGTAGAAATGATTTTAGTTCAATTAGCATTTCAGACATGCAGAGTTGGATTTCAATATCTCCTTAATTGGTACCTAATTTCCCTACTTTGGATGAATCATGCTTGCTTGCTCCCAAAGGTTGTGCAAGCTCTTGTAGAGTTTAAAAGCAATATTTATGGACTAATTTAATCAATTCGGTAACATGGCTTAGGCTTACCATATAGGTATAATCACGACTATATTATTACATTTTAAGGTTTCTATTGTGAGCGCATCGATAGGTTAGTTGAGCGATACCCACCAGAAACTCTGGTAAAGGGACTTACTACATACCTAATAGTGGCCTAGGAGTTTTTCTTTAAATCTTATATAACATACGTAAATCCTCTTTTCAAACTTATCAACTATCATAGACTGTCGATCCATTAAAATCGTTGTTAACAAATTAAATAATTTGAACATTACTTCGTATCTCGAGTGAATACACTGTTAGCCAATTTATAGCACTCAATTTTAAATATTTGTGTTATTTTTTCCCATCTAATATAAACAGTATTCCAAAGATCTCGCCTACTGGGTAAAATAACCCAACAGTTTATTAATTACTTTAACTTTTTATATTATTTACTCACCCAAATTGAATTTGACACCATAATTAATTAACACAAGTCTTTATTAAATATTTTAAAAACATTAAATTTGATGTCATTAACAGCAAAACCAAAAACGTAAAATACGTTCGTAATAAGTGTAATAAAGACGGTTTGCTGCTGTATTTTTGTTGTTAATTTTATTTTATGATGGTGCTTAAAATAAAATTTTATTTAATGCATTTTTTTAATGGAAAACATAATCATGACTGTAATTATTTGCACCTTTTACACTCACGTTAAAAACACAAAATAAAAAAATACAGCAAAGCGAACAAAAATCATAAATGGAGAAATTGTACGTAAATTGACCGTTACCACTACGACCGCAAAGACCACAAAACCATTAAAGCCACATGTGGACACACATACATAAATTTTCAAACAACAGAAATTAGGTTAAGAACGATTTTCGTATTTGTTGTTTTTGTTTTACTATTAATTTTAATTTAATTATGAACGCTTTATGTGGTTAGAATAAAAAGTAAATATTTTTTAAGATTTAATTTTTTAAACCATTTAATTATTGTTTAAAAAATATTTTTTTATTAAACGCCTACGCCCGATTCTCTTGTTTTTTGCTTTTAATTATTATTGTTACTTTTTGGAGCAAAGTTTTGTTGCGATTTTTTTTAAATTTAGTTTGCGTTAATATATTTGTTGGCTATAATACGTTCTACGTTATCAAACAAACTGATTTTGCTCTTTTGTAGTCCATGACCAGACCAATATACAATGTTACACAATCATAAACAAATTGCTTTAAAGTAACCAAATTTGGCTCTTTCTCTCATTGAACTCTAATAAAATTAAACGAAATTTAGTACTAAAAGTTTAGCTCTTTAGTAAACAAGGACTAAGGAATGAAACAAATTTGTATGTTTTCGTGTAAAAGTGCGGTAAAGCGCATGATCTGTTTTAAGTTTATGGTCCATAACGAGATGCTGTCGTGCTGCTCCTTTTCTCTCTTCATATATATATATGTATATTATATTATTGTTGGGATGAAATGGAATGAAAATTCATTTATGGATTGTTGATTTTTTAAGTGTTATAGGTCATGAGTTTTTATTCGTTCTTTATATTTCCCGAATTTATTTTTTACACTTTTTCCCTTATCGCCCTTAAAAACTGTATCATGTTATAGTATTTCATATTAAATTCATGTTAAAGTAGTTTTTTCTTTAAGTTTTATATAATTTTCTTTTCAATGGTATTGTGTATTTTATTTGTCTGTCTTTACATCCTCCTTTAAAATAAGCATCATTGTTATTATCATTGTTTTTTTTTCTCTATTTAGCTTCATGCAATTCCAACAGGAACATATAAATTGCAGCAGAAAATTAACTCTTCAGGATATATTCAGTGTCGAAGGTCAGTTGGAGTTTTGTTACTAAAGTAACAAGAGTATGAAAATGGTTGAGAGAAAATGTTATTTACTCAATGGATAAAGATTGTTACATAAATTAAATTTTGATTAGAAAAATTCTTCATGGACTTTTAACTCCTTAATTTTTAAGGTAAGCTTTATAACCAGCGAAGACTTAAATTGAAAAATAATGAGTAAAATAGCTAATAAAATCACCCTTATCAATCATTATTTTAACATGGTGATGGTAGCTCACAAATATGTACTTTGAATAAGGGAGTTAAAAAGTTGTATTTTTTTCGGAATTCGAACCCGTATCTAGTGTTCGTTAGTCCTCTAGGTTACTCATCAAACTTTAGCTTAGTTATGTAATTGAGCATCAAGTAATGATTTTTACACAGAAATAGTATTTCCATTATATACATCTTTAAATATGTTCTCAAGTATATGATCATATGTAATTCATTATTAGAGTATTATAAAGTAATACATACTGTATGTAGTAGTCATTGAAAAGTAAGTTGTCGTGATAGTTCAAGTCGTTACCAAGTTTTTAGAAGGTAGTAAAATATATTGCGATAATAAAGCTTAATGCTTTACAAGTTTCATGTATTTTTATTTTCTTTTTCATTGAGTCAACGTAAAGTATTTCGTATTTATAGGTCCAAAAAGTAATACTTTCTCAAAAACCACATAAACCAGTTAAATAGCGGGCGCTATATTTATAAAATGTTTACAATGATTTCCAATTCAGAGTTTATAAGTCAAAAAATATTTTTTTCGTTGTCGTCATATAAAAATAAATTTCTGCTAAAAAATCCTTTTCCATGAGCATTTAATAAAATGTATTTTCCAACTTTGTGTTTTATAGCACATTTATAAACAGTGGAAAATTCTGAATAGTTTTGCCTGTTAACATTAACAGAACATGTTATTTTCTGTATCCACACTACATACTTATATATTTGAACTAAAATTTTTAAAATTTCACAAAATCCAGTAAATATTAAAAAAAGTCTACCGTTAGCAATTAATTAATTTAAATAAGAGAATTATAGCACTCAGTACTTTACAAAATGAATCTGACATTACTAATAAAACATGAAATATTTCATAAATAAAATATATAATCCATTAAATTATAGTTTTAAAAAGTAATATATTTCTAAATACGTTTATTGATTTTATTATATATATTTCGATATTTTTTAATATTTTTTTACTTGATTTCCTATATAATAGCAGTGGTTTCCTTAAGTATGAGTGAGTATCAGGATGTGTGTTTAACTAACTGTTACTTTGTTACTTTTAGCTTTACTTCCGTTTTAATACATTCATCAACGTCGCAACATATTTGCTGATAATGTGATTTTTTTTTCTCTATTCCTCCTTCATTTTTTGCACACTCTACTTATCATCCATTTATAACAGTGCATGGTTTTTTGCGCTGTTTGTCTGTTTCTATAACGGAGTGTTTTTGGAGTGTGTCTTGCAATTTTTCATTTACATTTTTTTATGTTGCAAAAAAAAATATTATACCGGATATAAGCGGAAATTCAATTAATAATTTTTTCGTATGTATTTTTTTTTTTTCTCTTTTTTAGTATCAAGTTTTTTGTAAACTGTCTGTGATTCTTGCTAGTTTCTAAGTATGATGTATTAGAACACTCTTGCTTTTGCAAATTTATTTAAAACAATTATAAATTTAAATATTTGTTATATTATCTACATACATACAAACGTACTTCATATGTTTATATATATTTACTTGGGTTTGGGGAATTTTTCTCTACAATTTTATTCTTAAAATTTTTTTGCATTAAATTTTTAAATAATGGAACAAACAAGAAAATATCAGGTAACAATGATCCTGTTTAAAGTAACAAAGATCCTTTTTAAATATTACATGTGATTCAAAATAGGTTTTAAATATTTTCAATATTTCAAAAATTACTTTACTTTGACCATAGCTCTTAATTGTGCCTTTTGTATAGTCAATACTAAAATTAATCAAAATTGTTTAAGAAATTATTATATGGGTTCTTTAAAAATCTTCTCCATTAAAATCTTCGTTTTATTGACCCTTAACAATCCTATATTGAAAAAAATTTGGATTACCCTCTTTATGAACATTTAGAAGTATTTTGTACAAAATCGGTATTGATCGCCACGAGTAGTTGCAACTTTAATAAATGAGAGTGCAATATTTGGCTGTACCGAATCTTATATAACCACAATCAAACCATTTGCCGTAAAAGGATTGATTATGGACCGAAGGAACTTTATATGAGGATAGGGTCAATTTCTGACCTTATATGGGGGGTAGGGTCATTCATGGGCCGATCCTCATTAAATCAGATTGAGAGATTTTGCTTCGTAAAAAACTTATTGGTGGCAAAGTTAATCGCTATATTCGTATTTTTAATCCAGCAATAAGAGTTAAAGTAATTTTCTAAAGATGACCTTCTATGGGGTAGGGTCATTTTTTGACCGATCCTCACAAAATTTCGTAGAGAGATTTTGGCTCATAACAAACTTATTTATGTCGAATTTCATAGCTATACTCGTATTTTTAAAGCAGTTTTTCAGGGCACCACTCCTATGGGGAGGCAAACTCATGGACCGTCTTTGCTCATTTCCAATACTTTTATGCAAAATTTCAACTGTCTAGCTGATCCCGTCTGGTCGCTATCGCGATTTTAACAGACAGACGGCCATGGCTAGATCTTCTTAGAATTCAATAAGGACTCAGAATATATATTCTTTTGTGGATCTATGACCAATATTTCCATTACAAACGGAAAGAAAAAACAATATACCCATCTTTTTTGACAGTGGGTATAAAAAGGATACATTAAACATTACTTCCAGAGAAGTTAAAAATATGCTCATAATATTTTGATACTCTTAATATCATAATAATATAATGTCATTGGAAGTAATTTATTGTTTTTTTTTTTTTTTTAATTTTACTTAAATATCTGTAAAATATTGAAAATGTTTTCTTCACGGGTTAATTTGTAAAGCTCTTAATAATATAACTTTTATTTCCTGATTATCCCATTTAAACAGTTTACAATACATCTAACGAAGAAATCAACAACAATAGCAAAATACGTTTTATGCCTCGAACCATTTTATATTAAAAAAAACTCAAGCAAAAACATTTGAAACGTTTACAATATTTTAATAAAATAAAAATTAAATTTTCATAATTCTCTTTAACCCCACAAATAGCCATACAATTTTGATACCAACTACAGCAAAAACAATATAAAAAAATCTCCATTTATAACAAAAAAATTTAACTTTTTGTTGCTTAAGCCGTAATATACCTTGGTGGGTATTAGCGTTCTAATCTTTTTATTTCCACATGAATATATTTTTATTAAATATTTTTTGTTGGTTTCGCCTAAAAAATGAAACAAAAAATATGATTCACTTCCTACCAACTCCACTAAGCATTTTACATTTTACTACTCTATTTACGCAGAAAAGTTGCAACAACAATGAGAAAAAAATCATATTATTCTTATTTTTCCCACAACAAAATTATTGTAAATTTTTCATAGAGTAGAATGGTAGAGCAAAATCATATTGAAAAAAGTCTAAAAAATATTGTACAAGTATGGTGGGTGGCAAACAAGCAACAAACACAAAAAGAAGCAGAAACAAAAAAACAATATTTATAAAATGTTTTTTTTTATATAAAACAAACAAATATATAAAAATCCCTTAGTAAAGCTGGTATTGTAACCGATTGTGCCTAAAACCATGCAAATTAAATTTAATGGAAAATTTATTGCGTTATACGTGGCACACTGTATGTACTACAAACATTTATTTAATTTAACGAGCAAGCGAGTTACTGGTTTTCCACTGTACAGTAAAACATAAACAACTAAATCAAATAAAGTACAAACGAAATATATTGAAATTTCGCATTTTGTATCTTTTCGTACTTCTTACACTGTATTTTACATTATGATTATTTTTTAAAGGATAGTCTATGGTCTTTATTTAATATTTACGTAAATATGTAAGTATATAGTATATTGTTCATATTTATTTATTTGGTTGGTTGGTGGTAATATTTTAAACATTTTACTTTATGTGTTTTTCGGTTTATTTTTATTTTTGTAATAATTTTTATTTATATTTGAGAAAAAAAAAATAATATAACTTATTGTTATACAATGTACATACATACTTTTATATTTAATGTTAAAGTAATAGAACAATCAAAGTTAATGTATTTATAATTTGTATGGCATTTTTTCTATATGAATTTTAAAAAGTGTGACAT